GAGAGAGAGAGAGAGGAGGGGGGGGAGGAGGGGCTACATTGTAATTGCATTAACTTAAGAATGGGATATGGTTAGTAGTTATTGAATAACCATACAAAACTTGATGAAAATAAGGATTTTCCATGGTCGGCCTCCTCAATTTCACAAACCAAATTGTACTCATTAGTAGCAAGATTACCATTCCCTTGGTTGTGAGTCAAATTGTGCCCGCCGAAATCAGCGATATACACCTTTAAATCAAGCACCCTTGAGTGATGTCCCCTACGTCTAGGTCTTCTATCACTTTCCTCTTCACTCGACTCCTCACACAGTGCACGTCGGTGAAAGGGTGATACTGAACATCTTCTTTGGTGAAAAGATTAACCATCCTGCCCATGATTGATGCTTACGAGTTGTTGTTCATGCTGTTGAAAATAAATAGAATAAGCTTTATGGTATTTGATGGACAAAACTGTCAATTATCTTTTGTTTAGTCCGTATTTGTTTTATGTCTCTAAATAAGGGCAATATTGTCCACAAGTTTTTTTGGCTAATATTGTCCACAAGTTGTAATAAGCGTTATTACTTAATATTATAAAAAAGGTAGAGGTCACAAGTGACCTCTAAGCCACTCACTTTCCCTCTCTATCTCTCACGTCCCTCTCTATCTCTCCCTTCTTCTTCTTCTTCATAATCATCTTTATTTTCTTTCCACTCTTCTTCTCTCTAGATCCTACCAAACTGTTTTCTTCTCTACTTTAATTTGAACTCTTGCATCCTAAGATCTTCATCTCTGCTTGTTGCTATAGGTTTATCAAAATCACAAATTCTAAGCAGAAAATCAGCAAATCCTAACTTAAATTAGCAAGCTCTAGGCTGAAATTTAGTAAAATCTGTGGTGAAATCAGTAAATTCTTGATTGAAATCACCATGTATGGACCAAATTCAACTAACCCTAGACTTGACTGAAGATTTTTTCCTCTGATGCTCAAGAATCCTTTGCTTTGATATCATTTGATGCAGAAAGAATTTTGTAGGGAAGAAAATCAAATATTCTATTGATTGGAAAATTAAAGAGGATGCCTACAAGCTAGGCTTTAGTGGCTCTTCACTGATTAAACCATAAAAAAAGATCTAAAAAACGCAACTCTCTCTTGAAATAGACGTTCTAATTAAATACATAACTTGTAAAGACATTTTTAACCCTGATAAAGCAAATTATTCCATAAGCACTCAACTACTCTGTTAAACAACTCCTAAAATCCTAAAAGTATAAAGGAAACCCTAGAATCCCTAAAAAAGCTAAAAGCCCTAAAATTAAAAATTAAAAATTTTCATCATTGGGACATATAAACAAAAAATTCAAAATAAGAATTACTTTGTCAGGCATTACCATTGGTCTTTCCATAACCTTATCTGATCTCCTCTTTCTAAATTGAATCTAATTTTCTCATTGAAAGTGTGCATGCCACTCTGTCAATGCTATTTCGTGCTCTTGAGGGCCCATTGTCGTGGTATTTGGGGATGCAACCTCCATTTCAGTGCCATATTTCACACAAATAACCTTCCTCGACAATTGGGTTGCCTCGACTGCAAATTTCCACCACCATTTGCCTAATAGTGCCAAATTATTCTCTTTTAGCCTTCTAATCTAGAGTCCTCCTCCTGACCAAAGAAAATTTCTTATAAGGGTCTTTAGGTTGGATACGATAGCCAAAGGCATATGGAAGAGGGACATTTGATATTTTGGGCCATTGGCAAGTGTTGCTTTTATTAGGGTTATTCTTCACCCTAAAGAGAGGAACCACCTTTTCCAATTCGCAGGCCTGTTATTGAACTTCACGACATCTAAGTCCCACAAGTGCTTCTTGGGCTTGCCTATACACAAAAGCAGGCCTAAGAATTAGTCCTGCAGCTCAACTCAAGTGTTGTTCCAAGGCACGAACTTGTATCCAATTCTAGTGCCCAACATTTTGGTTTTAGGCATATTTACCTTTATTTAGTAGAGACCTCAGAGTACCTAAGGAATAGCCAGAGGTTATCTACCTGAGTTGGACAAGCGTCACATAAGATGAAGGTGTTATCTCCATATATCTGATGAGTGATCTCCATAGATAAAACCTCTAAGGTGACCTTGATCATAGAGTCTGGTGATGATCTGGTGAACAGTTTGCCTATTATTGCAAAAATGGAATGGGGAGAGTGGGTCCCCTTGGCGCAACCTCCTATTAGTTGTACAGTAACCTTCTGGCGATCTGTTGATTATGATAGAGAAGCTTGGATTAGTGACAACCCATAATCCAAGATTACCATCCAGTGCCAAAACCCATTCTTCTCTGTATGTTGTCCTAGATCGACCAATTGACATGGTCGTATGCCTTTTCCTAGTACAACTGTATCACTGGGCCTTGCTTCCTCGTCTAATGCCTTGTGTATATGGCCTTATGGCCGTGGACACCATCGAGAATTTGTCTATCTGCCACACAGGTGGACTGAGTTTTGGAGATAACCTTGTCTAGATCTTTCTTAAGTCTGGTTGTTAGTGCCTTGGTAAGGATCTTTTAACTGGAGTTTAATGGACTGATGGGCTAGAAGTCTTCTGATTTTTCTGCTTCTTTGACCTTAGGTACCAGGGTAAGGAAGGTGGACATCCTGTGCTGTAATTTTCACCTATGTGTAAGGGGTTTCCAATCATTCTAGTCATTGTTTTGTCAGGAAATTACTCATTTTTATCTTGTTCTAGTTACTATCTAACCATTTGAAGCAACATGACGTACTCCCAAACTTGAGTTTGACACTTTGTTGGCAAAAAACTCGTGAATCACATTACAAAGTTCTACATAATCACTCAGCACAAGTTTTTTCGTGAACAAACTCTTGATTACCACCTCAAGTTTGAGGGGGAGATTACTATTTTTATCAATAAAGAGGAAAATTTTCTATTTTTCAATATCTTGTTTTCGTGATATTCGCTTATTGTACAAAGGCAAATAACCTAAAATGTTGTATATTGTTTTATGCCTATATGCGTGTCTGCCTTCATATTGAAAGTTTACAATGTCACTTATGGATTGTATTATGCTTGTTATCTGTACAGTTTTATTTGTCACGTGGCTTATGAGTTGATATTCTCTATCAGGCAGGATCAGAAGCTGGTATTGGTTTTCAGAGCATGGATTGATGATCTACAATATAATAGGGAATAGATTTTGTGAACGAATCGGAAGGGAGCACAAGAGCAATCATGGTATATTTCCAATCATTTGAGGTCGCATTTTGCTATCTTTGTGGGGAGATTTTACTTTCCTTGTTCATGCATGTAAACCAGAGATTTCCAAATACCACACTTTTTCTCTACAATAGAATTATTTTATGAACAATTTAAAATGTATTATTAATACTGTGTATTTCAAACCAATGATTATTTCACTTATTTTGACTGCAAATATGAAAACATGATATGAGGCTTATATGTGATCCAAAATTGTATTCTTTTTCTTTTATCTTTACATGAGAGATGTTTTGCCATTTGCCCATATTCAAGAGTATTATGTATAATTCAAATGATGTATGATATTTCAATCTCCATACTTAGCAGTCTGCATGGCAGCTCAACATTTGCAAAACCTATAGGTTGCAGACCATCAGAACCCAAGTTCCTTATCTATGTGGTGACCATAATGTTTTTTTTTTTTTTTCTATTCACTCATATTTAGTACCTAATGAACCTAATTCATATACAATAAGGAATCATCTGCATTCTCAAAATCTCAAAAGTTCACAATCCAAGTGGCATGTCTGATTGCAGACTCAGTAGGTTCCAAGTCAACACAAAACTATGCTTGTCCTTTATTTTTGTACCAAGTGACCAACTCGAACTTATGCAATGCTGTTGATCAAAGTGCAATCTGTTGATGTGATAAAAGCGATATTATCAGGACCTCGTTGGTCACAAACTGGTGGTCCAAAGTCCAAACAGGTCAGACTGGTTGGTTTACAAGAAAGAGCTGTCTTTAACACACATACACACACACAACCAATCAAAACTGGTACGAGCTATCAGAACCAGTCTATTCAGTCTTAATAACATGTAAAATAGTGTTGTGATGTCTCTTTTTTGCCCTTCAATTTAGATTAGGAGCTAGTGGTTGAAAAAGTTTTTTTTGCTAAAAATTCGCATCTTCATCATCATCATCATCATTCGAGCATTATCCCAACTATTTGAGGTAGACTACAGGAATATTGTTCTACTATTCCGCTCTATCAATGGCCATATCCTCAATCTTACTGCATGTTACCGTATCTCTTCTCAATACTTCCATTCGTTTCCTTTTGGGCTTTCCTTATGCCCTCTCAAGAGCCTTCCATAGGTCACCATGCCTAATTAGTGCTACTCTAGTTTGACATTGCACATGGCTAGACTACCTAAGTCTACTTTTTCTCATCTTATCGCCTATTGAAAGCACCCTTAAGTTCCCTCAGATATATTCATTCTAAATTCTGTCATTTCTTCTCTTGTCATTCATCATCTCAACATCCTCATCTCAACTACATTCATTCTATAAACATGTTGTTTGTAGACCTCCCAATATTCTGTCCTGTAAAGCATGCCTGGTCTCATAGGAGGAATCCTATAGAACTTCTCTTTTAGTTTCATTGGTAATGCGGTGGTCACATAAAACTTCATAAGTACATCTCCACTTCGTCCATCCCGATATCTTCCTCAATCTCTCCATTCTCATGGATTATCGACCCAAGATATCGAAAATAACTTCTTTTAGGAATTTCTTGCCGATCAATCTTAATTAATTCCTCGTTTATACTTCTATCATTACTTAATGTGCATTCCGTATATTATGTCTTTGTCTGGCTAGTGTTATGATCTTTTGATTCTAGACCATCCCTCCAAAGTTCTAACTTAGGATCTGTGAAATAGATGTGGCAAAATTTTTATGCTAGCTGCCAACCTAATACAACTCCCCTCTTTTTTCTGGTCTTGGGACCGGCATGACCGGCTTGGATTGTCATGTCAAAGTTTTTGCAAAAACTCGCGTCATAGACATAATACTGATGCAATGATACTAGACTTTGGGAATTACTGATGCAGGACAAAATTATTTTAATTTTTAATTTTGTTTAATTTCAAGAGATGTATATTTTAATTTCAGTTTTAGTATTTATTTTTATGGTTTTTAAGTTTTCTAGGGATTTTAAGGTTTTTTATATTTTGTATTTACTATTCATGTGATTGTTCATAGGGGTATTTTTGGAGTTTTAGTATTATTTAAGAGTATATTAGAGTCTTAATGTTACTTGCATCTCAAGTTAATTTTAAGGTTTCATAGGCTTATAAAAGGTTAATTCTCACATTTTGAGAGGCTTATGTTATTGGAATGAATTTTATTTTATGAAAGAAGAATGTTCTTCTCTTGGCTGAATTTATTTCTCCATTATTGCCCGTTTTACTTGTTTAAGGTTTAGAAAAATGGTAGTTTTAATTTCCCCACCTTTCCTTCCTGCATTTAGGGGTGGCAACGGTTTTGGTGCGAGTCAGGTTGGGTCCAACTGGACCCGGACCTGGGCCTAAATAGTATTGGGGTTCAGGTTTTGGACTTGGACCCGATCCGTTGGGTCTCGGGTCTAGTGGGGCCTATTGCCACCCTATGACTATGAGGTTCTTTTCTTTTCTTTTCTTCCCTTTGTTTTACCATGATATACCTATATTATTGGCAACAAGGTCACAATCACCTGCCATTAGATTTCAAGCCGTCTGATTTGTCGTTTAATAGCTAAAGATGACTATGAATTCTTATTGTATACGATCCTTAATACACCCATAAGAATAGGGCTTAAAGTAAAATATTTTACCTCCAACGGTTTATTGGTATGGGTCAAGTCCTGTTGGACCCAAGCCTGGACTCGAATAGTGTTCAGGTCCAGTTTTGGACCCAAACCGGACCCATCAGGTCCAAAAATTGGACCCATACCCAGATTCGAGGTCAGGTCTACCCATCAGGTCTTGGGTTTGGTCGGGTCCATTGCCAACTCTACTTGCATTAAGTGGTATCAGAGTTTAGTTCGAAGATGATTAGAGATTGCGATGGTTGGTCGTAAAGGTCTTAGTCATAAGGCTGCCAATCTAATCCAATTGTGCAAGGAAGTCAACAACTTGACAGAGAGGGTCAAAAAGTCGTTGCGCAAGAGAGGCCGACAACAATGTGCCCTAAATGAAGAGGAATCTACGGGTATAGGTCCAAATTATGAGACTTTTTATGAGTCTAAGTCTGAGTAGGATTAGACTGATGACGTGTCAAACGACATAGATGGGTTCTATGTGCGATGGCATCAATTAGAACATAATTTTGAAGAAGCAGCAGACTCCAATCTTCTATTGGATTCAATATTCTTTGAATCAGTAGAGGGCCTATCTTTGATAGTGCTTCAATCTGCTATAGTGATCCCATTGTTGATAAAGAACAAGGTGTCTCTTTGATGGTGATCATATTTTGATGAATCATTGGACAAAGTTGAAGAATTTAGATAACTTTTCTATGATAAGAATCATGTTGAAGATGTAGATGTTTGGGAAGAGCATCTTGCTCCTGAAGAATATGGAGAGAAGGCAGCAGATGGACTGATCAAAACCGTGGCCTTTGAAGATCTCAAGGATATCAAAGATGGGGAGCATTCAAGATATTTAGGGTATTGAAATCAAAATAACACGGTGGAAGTGTGGTAGACTCATAAACTGCAAATTGTGGCCTTGGTTTCAGAGAGTAATGAAATAGATGTGGAGAGAGCCTTTGAAGGATAAAAAATTAAGTTTGAAGTTTTCCACACAATTTTTAAAAGTTCAAGGATAGCTGTATTTGATAAATATGCATTGATTCCTCAATATATATATCAAGATCCATTTTTTTGAGGAATTCTTTTTACCACAAATAATATTTGAGTCAACAAAGAAGAAAAAGGTTGAAGAAGATGGTTTTGATGTTGAATTCATCTTAGCACACTTCAAAACTTGAGCACGAGTTTTCTCCATTCACGGGAGAATGATGCAGGACAAAATTATTCTAATTTTAATTTTTGTTTAATTCAAGAGATGTATATTTTAATTTTAGGTTTATGATTTATATTTAGGTTTTTAAGTTTTCTAAGTATTCTAGATTTTTTTTATATTTCTATTGTTCACTGGTGTTGTTCACAATTAATTGAGAAAAGGCTATGATGATGATGATGATGATGACTATTCACTGGTGTTGTTCACATTACTCTATTCATGAGTATTGTTCATCTGTTACTGTTCATAGGGGTATTTCTGTAATTTGAATAATGTTTAAGTGTATTTGAGAGTCTTAAATGTTTACTTGGATCTCTTTTACGGTTTCATGGGCTTCTAAAAGGTTGGATGTCATATTTTGGTAGCCTTATGTTAGTGGAATGAATTTTATTTTATGAGAGAAGAAAGTTTTTCATATGGCTTGATTTACAGCCATATTTTTTCTCCATTATTGCTGATTTTACTTGTTTAAGGTTCAAAAAAATGGTGGATTTAGTTTCTCACCTTCCCTTCCTACATCAATTACTTAGAGCTAGTATTGGAGTCCAAATGTTTCTACAAAAGGAATGTGGTATTAAAGAAAGATGTACATTAACATGGAGAAAGAGTACATGCAAAGCCTGGGAATGTCCCAACTACCTCGCCTTCAAAACTCATAACTGCTTGGGTTAAGCTCTGTTGAGTAAAACTATACTATGAGAAGATACGTATATTTTACTAAAGTAAACATATAAAATATTTATCTGCCCTTCAAAACTCCTACCTGTCATTTTCTGCCTCCCAATTAGATTAGGAGCCATTGGTTGAGAAATTTTTTTGTGCAAAAGGTCCACATCATGGACATACTACTGATTTAGAATCTGGTAATCACTTAAAGCTAGTATTCGAGCCAAAATGTTAATATAAAAAAAATGAATGTGGATTTTAGAAAGATATACATTTGCAATGAAAAACAGAACATTATAGATAATTTACAACTACCTGGCCCTTCAAAATTCATTACTGGTTATGTTAGGCTCTACTGGTAAAATTATGAGAAAATAGGTGTAGTTTAAATTATAGATAATTTAGTTCATCATTTTCTTTGCTTTATTTATATTCTGCTTGGAAAAGGCATAATCCAACTTGTGCTTTTTAATTGTCTTGCATCTTTTCATTTGGGTATGTCAACTTGGTTTGCCAGTGGATGGTTCAATACCAAGGCCTCTTTTGTGGCATACAGGTCTCAATGTTGAGCCAACGGCTTGTTGATAAATTGTTTTAACATCTTATTGGGGTTTATTTCTGCTTTGCTTTAATAAAGCAGAAAGCTTCAAGTCTTCTTTTTTTTTTTTCTTTTTTCTTTTTTTAAATTGGGCTAGTGACTTTGGACCCATAGTGCCTGCCAGTTGAGCTGTGGGATTGTCCGCCAGCATGCATCGATTATCAAGTGTAACTTAATTGCATGCATAATTCTAAATGATGTGTGTAAACTATTTGTGTGTATGACAAATACCAACAATACCTTCATCAAAAGTAGTTATTTTTAAAAGAAATTATATTGCTTTATCTGCAGGCTAATATGCATCTTTGACATGGTTGCAGTAATGTATGTCGTGGACTTTAGAAAAGCTGGCTACTATCAGAAATGCTATGATCCAGACTGCCGAGGTCAGTATAGTGCTGATAATGCTCTTTACTATCACTATGCACTAAATTTCTTGCTATTTAAAATTTGCCAAACTGATTATGTTCTCAGGTTTTCGGTCACCTTTGCGACCAATACCCTGGGGTTTTATCCCAGATGATTCCGGCATCTATGATTCAATACCACTAGAGAAGAATGAGCGGACAGTGGATATTGACTTCAATCTTCAACTTAATGAAGGGAATGGGAATCCATTGTTGCATGACAATCTCAAAATCTGTGAGAGTTCAAAGACAGATTCCAGATGGTGGAAAGAGGTCTTAAGAACTGCAATTGACATTGAAAGCACCAGGAAAACACTTGAGTTTGGGAAAGTGGTGAAGTAGCATTCTCTAACCCTTTAATGGCCTTTGGTTTCTTAGTTATTTGTGACTTGCGTGTCTCATCTATAAAATGATCCGTTCATCTTATATGCCTTCTTGCAATTGTTTGGATGATATTGGGTGTCTTTCCTAGTTATGAGGGTGTATTCTGGCTGGCTTGTTTCTTCTGGCTTGCTATGTGAATGGATTGTAAAACCTAAAACCAGTCACTGGCTTTAATGACAAATAAATCATTTTGCGCATAGAGGACCACACCAACACACACTAGGGGTATTAAATCTTCCATTCCGGAACTTGCATCCTAGTATATTTGCTCAGGAGATTTTCTGGTTTTAGTTTTTCGAGTTTCTTTTGCTAAAATCTTAAGAAAATTAAAAGATGGGGAAAATACAGTAATTATGTGAAATTAATAAAGTATGATAAGGAAAGGCAGAATAAGATGATACTTTTCCTATTTTTGGAATTTTAAGTTTCTTGAACTTATATTATAGTTGTCTTGAATTTTTGTTGATGTGTTTTTCAATAATTAATTACTTGTAGTTTTTGTTCTGTAAATTTACATTTGAATTATTCATAACTTTATAGGGTGCAATTTGTATAGGGCCGAGGCTCTAAACAGTTAAAGTAAAGCGCACCTTCAAATAGTATCGAGAAATGTGGTTTCAATACTAGAAATCTTTGTGATAGCCTTAAAATTTCTTTTCATCTCTAATTATAAAATTTAAAGCTTCAAAAATAGTGGAGATCGAACAAATCTATGAAAATTTGAAAATCTTGAAAATTGATGGTCCAAAAATGCATTACAAGATACACTATTTCCAAAACTTGAAATCCATTTTTTTCTCATGTCCGTGCATCTTGTGGTCGAGATGATCAATTTAAGGACTTTTGAGCATCAAAACAACCTCTTCCAGTGAAATTTTTTAGGTGCGTTGTAATTCGATTGTTTAGAGCCTCGCACTTATATAAACTTTTTCCTAATTTATATTTTAGAAAAGTTGTATAGGAAAGAAGTATCCAGAAAATATCTCAATGTTAAATTGACTTTGAAATTGTTCTCATACTTTCCCAAGATGTTCAAATTTGGTGATATCCGGCACCACAAAGTAGATCTCACATTCACATTTTTGGAAAGAGTGACAGTCTATTGCTCTCTGCTGTGCATGAGGTAGAAGAACCTATTTACTAATAGTCTGCACAAAAAAACCAAACTTGTTAATCTACTCAATGAACAGATTATTTGACACGTGGAACTATATTTATTTTATCAGTTTGCTATTACAGCAGATCCATTGATAGCTGTTTTGGGGTGTTTTTGAATCATTCTGAGCTTAAAAATGCATGTGGGGTAAAAATGCAGAATTCAATACTTTTGTGATGTAACAATCACATAATCTAAACAAGAAGCTTTAAAATGTTGGGGTGTTTTTTAATCATTATGAGTTTGAAAATGCATAACTGGAATTAAAATGCAGAATGCAATACTTTTGTGATGCAACAATCACATAATCAAAGCAAGAAGCTTTAAAATGAACTCAAACTTGAGCAAAAAGATCAAAATGATGTTACAATTCAAATTTTGGTTACAACTGACAAACCAATGTCTTGGAGTGAATTTGGTAGCTGTGGTACATAAAGGATTAACCGTGTCAAGAAGTGTGGCACTTCTTCAAATATGAAATTCCAGGCCAATTTTTATATAATTAGGTTCAAACTTGTCGAAACACGTTCGTCAGTGTACAAAATGCAATTAATTAGAAAATTATGTTAGAAAAATGTATCCTTGAAGTTTAAACTGCGGTTAAAACCTTTAAAAGTCATGAGTGGGATTTTTGGACTATAATGCCCTTATCTTAAACGGGGAAGCTTTAAATTGATAATCAACTATTTTTTCAGGCATCATAACCATAATATAACCCCTATATGACAGATGTCTCAAAGGGATGAGATATAAAATCCACAGGCTTGTGAGGGTTCTACAAAAAATCCCAATTACTCTTAGCTGCCAAAATAACTCTTCCACCATATCAGAGTTAAAAATTTTGGAGAAAAAAAAGATTTTTTAACTAGGGAACACACAAGATACAAGCAGATACAAGCATCATCCAATCAGAGAGAAAACATAGAACATTTAAAAACTTTGAAGAAGAATTTTACCAAGCAATAAGCAAGTAATTTGGGCAATCTAATCTATTTTGTCTTATTTTCTTCAATGTATTCTCTATAATTTTTATTTATTCATCATCATCATCATCAAAGCCTCTTCCCAACTATTTGGGGTCGGGCTACAAAAATCTTGGTCCACCATTATGCTCTATCATGGGCCAATGAGGCCATATAGCTCCATATTTTTTTTCACTACTTCCAACTATGTCCTTTTTGGCCTACTCTATATCCTTTTTTAGCCTTCCATTTGAACCAACTCGCACCTCCAAACATGTACCATACTAGGTTTGCGCTGCACATGGCCTGTTCACCTAATCTACTTTCGCTCATCTTATTGCCTATTGGAGAATTTTCAATTATATAAAGAATCATAATTTTTCTGGTTCCAAATTGTTACCAGTATAATTAGCAAAGCATCTATGAGTGCTCAAAAAAGGTGTACTTGGTTTCTGGCTGTTGAGCTCTTTCTTCTTTGTTTAAACAATGCAATTTCAAAGTACATAACAACTAAAGTCCAAAGCATTCGCAATGCTACTAATTTAGATGGTTATTTTGTACCTAAAAGCATAGTGTCTTGTAATCATTGGCAATTCCATTATAGTATGAGGCCATATTTGATTTCTTTGGAAGTTGGGGCTATGTACTTAATTAGCTGATACCCAAATGAACAGGATTGTGATGAAGGTGATGACTGGTGGCGAGATGTTGGAAAGAGTGCTTCCCAGGTTGAAGAGCGAATTACTAGTGGGTCCCAAATTTCCTAGAGCAGCTACCGGTATGCTTGACTTTTGAAATATTTTCATCATCTTTTTCATTCCAAAGATTTTATAAACTTCAAAATCTTAATTGTTTGATGTTTCTACCCAGGCTACTGCTTCTGCCATGGATAACTGTGGTTCCTTAAGTTATTATCAAGGAATTTCCATCCCAGCCTTTTCAAATCCTTCTTCTATTCACTTCCTGATTACTGCTGGTAATGAAGCTTGAAACGCCAAGTATCTTCTGCGTATAGAAATAACCAAGAATATTGCAGGTGTATATATACGTCAAGTGTTGCTCCTTTAAAAAGTATGTGATTCCGTATTAAGAGATAAAGCTAAAGCACAAATGGGAAAAGGAAACTCTAGTACTTTTGGGGAAACAACACTTCTAAACGGTTGAGCTGCTCTGCAGGTGATGAGCATAACATGGGACTATAAATTAGATTATTGGGAACCTAATTAAGTCAATATTTGTAGAATCTAAAATAAGAAAATCTTAAGAGAACTATTTGTGCTTGTGCTCTTCTGATTTTCTGATGTGGATCTAAAACATGCTAGAGGAGTTCTTCATAGATCAGGTCCATGTTAGCTACATAATTTGGATTTAAATTTTTTGCACCCAAGCTCTCGCAGAAAATAAAAATTTATGAAAATGTTTGAAAAATCTGGGACTGCTACCTCTAATCTACAAATTCGGTATAAAAGAGGCTTAAATCTTATCGTGTTGAAATTTTCCCTTGGGAACTTAGGATCTTTTTATACAGCCTAATACCTTGAGAAACCTATTGCGAAAACCTGAAAGCAAGCTTAGCAAGGGGTAAGCGCAGGCAGAGAGAGAGAGAGAGAGAGAGAGAGAGTAGTAACAACTATTGACATACTAGTACTATTCTACTAAGTTGTTTAGTTTTTGGTTCGTTCTTACTTACTTACTTTACTTTTCGTTTTCGTTTACGTCGTTCGTTTTCGTTTTTCGTTTCGTTCGTTTACGGAC